ATACTAATCGAAAATGTAGAAAAATTAAAAAAAATAGAACATTAGTCCTACAACTTTATTTAAACTGTATTTAAATTCAGAAGTTCCAGATTTAAATTATTTTACAAAGAAAATGTTCAGTTTGCAGTGGTTTATATTTTAACAGTTTTATATCTTGTTCTTGTTAAACTATAATCACCTGCTACAGGTTTTTATTCATTCCTTTCTACTGTCTCTTTCTCTCAATATTTATTGCATTGTTTCACTCAGTTTAGCTATCTTAAAAGGCAAAATATGAAAGGCATGGTACATAAAGCTTTGCATGTGACAATTCTGCTTCAGTCCTTAGCAAGCCCAGTAATTCTTTTAATAATAACAATAATTATTATTATTTAATAATTATTTACGGGTAATAATTATTTACATGTAAGGAAAACTGAAAATTCTGAAATTATTTATTCAGTGTATTTGTTTCAGAAGTTTATTTAACGTTTGGGTAGCAGTTTTTAAAGCTTGGGATGCAGTTTTTACTGTGTAGATGCCACAATCTCATTTATTGTTGTTGATAGTGGCCAATAATTCAAAATACGTTATGATACTGCTGAAATACCTTATCACAGCATTCAGAAATAACAAAGAAAAGGTGTGATTAGCTTTTAATAAATGTTACATATACAACCCACCTAGCGATAAGAAACCCACGCCTACCTAACTGTGAAGACCACACTAGTTATCACATTTAAATTGTAAAAAAAAACAAAGACCATGCTAGTTACCACATTTAAATTGTAAGAAAAGACAAAGATCACACTAGTTACACATTTAAATTGTAAGAAAAGGCAAAGATCACACTAGTTATCACATATAAAATTGTAAGAAAAGACAGTTTGAGGATAAACACACGTTTTTTATTGCTGGTTCTGAGTGAAAAGAACTTGAGAGAGACTGAGTTTTGATAATCAACCTGAGGAGAAACTTACTAAAAGGTTTTTGTTTTATTTCGCGCACATCCACACGAGGGCCATCTGCACTAGCCGCTTCTAACTCTGAAGTGATAGACTAGAGGGAAAGCAATTAATCAACACCACCCACCACC